AGCTGCGCCGCGCCGCCCGCGCCTTCCGCGTCTACCACCGCGCCGGCGCCGCCGACGCCGACGGCGACTACCTGGTGGACCACAGCGTGCTCATCTACCTGCTCGGCCCCGACGGGCTCTGCCGCGACTACTACACGCGCGCCAAGAGCGCCGAGGACATCGCGCGCAGCGTGCGGCGCCACATGGAGAGCTACGAGCCGCTGCCGCCCGAGTGACGCCAATAAAGGCGGTGGCCGCGGCCGCCCCGTGTGCCCTGCGGCGGCGGGACCCCCCTGGCGCTGCAATGGGGGCTGCGGGGTGGGTGCAGCCCCTCCGCTGCAAGCAGCTCCTGGCACGCAAGGGAACAGAGCTGGTGGCACCCGGGCCGTGGGGGCAATTCCCACAGGGAAGGGGCGGGAAGCCCTGCAGGAGGCTGGCGCTGGCGGCACCCCGGGAAGGGGGACGTGGGGACACGGCCGAGCAGGGGGGCGGCGCTCTCTGATCCCAGGGCTCCTTTCCAAGCACCGTGATTCCCCAGCTCGGAAAACCCTGCGGGTGCCACCCAGCGGGTGGGCAGGTCCCCGGGGGATGTCCCAGTGTCACCCCCCTGCCAGGCCAGGGCCCTGGTGCCCCCAGAGGCCGAGGCGCAGGGTGGGCACGGCACCAGCAGCCGAGGGGGGCCGGGGGCGCAGGTTTATTGCGGGGGGACGGGGTCCGTGGGGCGCGCGGCGCCGCGGAACCGCTCGTGCGCCCGCTCCCGCGTCAGCAGCCGCAGCCGCATGGTGTCCACGGCCAGCGGCGGCTCCCGCGCCACCTCCACCGTGCGGTCGTTGGCCTGCGGGGGCGGCACGCGGCGGGCTCGCGCGGTGCACGGGGTGCACGGGGCATGCGGGGTGCACAGGGCATGCAAAGGGCTCATGGGGTGCATGGGGCACATGGGGTACACAAGGCACACAGGGCACACAGGGTACGTGAGGGGCTTGGGTGCATGGGGTGCACAAGGCACACGGGGTGCACAGGGCATGCGAGGGGCTGGTGGGGTGCACAGGGTGCACAAGGCACATGGGGTACACGGGGCACGCGAGGGGCTCTCCAGGTGCACAGGGCACTCAGGGTACATGGGGTGCACAGGGTGCACGAGGCACACAGGGTGCACAGGGCATGGCGAGGGGCTCGCGGGGTGCACGAGGGACTCATGGGGCGCACGGGGTGCACGAGGGGCTCACGGTGTACACGAGGGGCACACGGGGTGCACGGGGCACACAAGGGGCACACCGGGCACACAAGGGGCACACGGGGCACACCGGGCGCGCGGGGCACTCACCAGCTGCAGCGCGGCCAGCATGTAGCGGCACACGTCGAAGGGCGCGCGGCCGGCCACGAGGCTGCTGAAGGGGCGCCACTCGCCCAGCGCGCCCAGCGCCGCCGCCAGCTCGTCGCCGTAGCGGTGGATGTCAAAGGCGGCGCGCTCGTCCTGCGGCGGCGCGCGGCTCCGTGGGCACCG